CTGCAGAAAATGACAGTGGCAGACTGGGAGGAGGGGTGAGTCCATGTGTAGTGGTGGGCTGAAGAGCAGAGGCAGAGGTGTGAATAGGTGGTGCAGGATTTCCCCATTGTCCAGCTGGGGAGGTGAGAGCTGGCAGATGGGTCGGGGGAGGAGTGGGTGATTGATCAAACCTCAGGAAGTGAGAATTGAGGTCATTCACCCACTGCAGGTCCCCCTCCCTCTGGGCAGTAGGTGCTTATGGTACAAGCATGAAATTTTTCCACATTACTAACACCCCCAGGACTAATATTTCTAGATATGTAACCAAGCCTAAATCGACCCTGGAGCCGAGAACTGTGCATGACACAAAATGGACTGTATGAAAATGAGACTGGCATAAAAAACACTGCATAATCCCTTTCTTACAGTCTAATTTGCTTAGTTATCCATTTTGTAATGTTGAACAACAATTTTTCATGAGCTCCAAAGCATTTATGAGGTCATGTGACCATTTTCCTTGAGGTTGTAAGGATTGTGTGGGCTCCCTGTGGTTGAAATCCAAGTTAATACAATATTTTATCTTTCAAAGCTTGGGTTTTTGATAACAAAAACAATTTAAACATCTCTAATGACCTGTAAGTGCCTCATCATGTTTCACAATAGTAATTAAATGCTGCATGGATGTGAAGCATAACCCTAAAAACATATCAGAGATTTTCCTTAAATCGTTAAACTTATTCAAAGTGCTTTAAGTGCAGCTGCTGCCACATTGGCATGAATCTGTACATGCCAAATTTGTCTTTGCACACTTGCATCACCCAGCACAGGCTTCTGCATCCACACTTGATAAGTTCATAGCACGTTCTTTGCCTGGTGGAGTGTGATCCTCAGCGGTAACCAGTGACTGTCATCACGCTTTCATCCTCAATCTGCAGGGGCTGGGTGGTGTCTTAAAATACTAAAATTCTTAATGGTGCATTATAACTTTTCTGTTTGGGGGTCCACAACCTGCTTCTTTTATGATGTTACAGCTTTGGCTGGAATCTTTCACTGTACGGCATTAAACATATCAGTCTTGTGTTTATTCAGTTAAGGATTGAAAATGAGTTTATTGCTCAAATACCTAAAATGCAGACATTCTTACATTTAGCGGGTCTATTGCTTGTGGGACGCCAGTCATTGTGTCCTTAGGCAAGGCACTTCACCCACATTGCCTAGTATGAAAGTGGTGTGTGAGTGAGTGATGGTGGTGGTCACAGGGACCCATGGCGCCAATTGGCATGGCAGTCGCTCTTCTGTCAGTTTGCTCCAAGGCAGCTGTGGTTACAGTAGTAGCTTACCACAGGGTATAGAGTGAATGAATAATGCTGAATAATGATCTGCAAAGTGTCTTTGTGACATATGTCTGTGAAAAGCACTATATAAATAAAAATACTTACATGTCACCAGTTAGATGGATAAGTTTAAAGTTATACTGTGAAAGCAAAGCAATAATATCTCCATGGACACAAGCAGGTATCTTACCTTCCACTGGAAGTGTTATATTGTACACCTAAAGATGTTAAATTCTGTTGTCCTTTTACATAGCCTGTATCTCTCACATTATGGGGGGGGGCATTATTTCAGCAGTTCAAGCTAATATGTATTTAATTCGACTTTAATTTTAACATTTGTCACTAAAACATAGTAAATTTGTGGTCTTAATAATGGGTTTATATCTTTATTACAATCCATATCATCATTCCATTTTCTCGTTCCAGATCGAGAGATTGCAATGAAAATATGACAAAACCTGTCACAAAACCTGGTCTAATGTTTGGTCATAGTCCCAAATCACCATCTCCACAGTTTCAAATGTGTTCTCAGTCTGGTGTGGGATTACTGGAATGAGCCATCCACCTCTGCTCCAGTCATTATTGTTGTTATTATGATGTTGTGATGGGTTGGGAGGGATTTTTGGGCATACATTTGCCAGTTGAGGTGTCTCGGGCATCTGTTCCGGATGCCTCCTGGGCGCCTCCCTCGGGAGGTGTTTCGGGCATGTCCCACCGGGAGGAGGCCCCGGGGAAGACCCAGGACACGCTGGAGGGACTATGTCTCTCAGCTGACCTGGGAACGCCTCGGGGTTCCCCCGGAGGAGCTGGAGGAAGTGTTTGGGGTGACGGAGTCCCTGCTTAGGCTGCTGCCCCCGCGACCCGGCCCCGGATAAGTGGACGAAAATGGATGGATGGATGGACATTTGTTAGTAGTATTAAAGATGTACTATGTAACTTTTCTGCTGGGAGCGAAAATGGCAGTGTTATATTGTTCCTCAGTATGGCATTAAACTTGTCTATCTCCATGGAGACAAGAAAGTGGCCCAACCAGGCCTTGTTTACAGGTCAGATCTATGGAGAGGTGGTTATATAGGTTATATACATATATATAGGTTATATAAATAGGTTTAATGCCTTACTGATTAATATTTCAGGCAAAGCAATGAAATCTCCATAGTAACAAGCAGGTGTAACATCTATAACAAGACTGCATTAAAGAAACTTAAGTCAGCTTCAGGTTTTATCTACAAAGTCTTATATAAAATACTTGTCACTACAGTGTAGTTAGTAGTTTTTATGTGTGTACTTTATACTTTTACTCAAGCACAAATTTTGCAGTAGTACTTGTAACTGAGTAAATGTTTTGCTATGTATCTGTACTTGAACTGTACTCACAGAAGAGCTGATTGAACCATTGTGTAGCGTATCCCTCTGAATGAAGACTTGACACTTGAACTGGCGAGTTTTAGATTTAATGTCAATAAATCCTTCAAATCTGCCGTAAGAGCTAAAAAGAACACAAATACAATGCCTAAATAGGCATTCACAAAACTTAACGGAAGTTTGATTAATATTTACATTAATCTAGACAACATTAAACAACAATAATAAAAAACTAGAGACCCAAAAATTATTCAAAGAAATATTTACATCAAAAACATACCTTTGTGCCTCTTCAGAGGGAAAGCTAAATGAAAAACTTAGAAAAATACCAAAAATGATATCTACACATTTGCTCCGCAACGTTTCTCCCCTCTCGTTGTCAAGGTAACCAGACAAACATAAACCTTTTAAAATAAAAGCGCCAAACACAAACGCGCAAGTCAATGGTCAACAACAGAAAATGGTGTAACACAAAAAACAATCATAAAAGGTCACAAGAGATTTCAACAAGACAAATTATACTATAGGTTATTTACACAATGAATATACAGGCTAAAGAAAGATTAGGGGGGAGAGAGAAATGAAGATAGAAAATCAAACCTACACAAAACTATTTTCATGAAGTTTTACTTTTGCCTTGAAGTGGGACTAAACACCTAAACTCGGCTCACAAACACATTTCAAATAGCGCTGATAAACTGAGTTACCTGGAGGAGTAAAGGAGAGAGGGGCGGGGCTAGGGGGTATAAGGAACAATGTAATTGGTCTAACAGGCATCCACACTACAAACTCCACTCCTACAGCCAGGGATTTGTAAACAGAAACAACTGGCTGTAATCAGGGCAGTCCTGTGTGATGTCACATAGTACTTGATATCACAGAGGCCACTGGAGTTCACACACTCTCATTTTTACACATTGTTGCTCAGATTCTTTTGCTAATTTACCTAGTTTGCTCTAAAATTGCCAAACAAACACTAGAAACAGTAAATGACACTATTAAAGACGCACTGTGTAACTTTTTAATTCAGGGCCCATCACCTGCTTGTTTCTATGGAGATGTCATTGCTCTGCCTGGAATGTTCCACAGTATGACATTAAACAGCTCTACCTTACATTTATCCAATTACAGGTGGTTTTATAGCTCAAAAATACCTAGAAAAACAGACATTCTGACTGTGAGCAAGGTCACCTCTTCACAGATCTGACCTGTAATTTGGCATTGTTTAGTCTCCATGAAGATAGAAAGGTTTAATGCCACATTGTAAAACAATCCAGACAAAGCAATAACATCTCCATGGAGACCAGAAAAGTTACATGATGCACCTTTTTTAAACACCATTAGTTTAGTAGCTTTTTTTGTTGTTGCTGTTATTTAATGTTTACTTTCACTTTAAAACTGCATTGAAAGTAGCTGGTATCTTGATACATATTCTTCTTTATAATCTATATGATAATTTAACATTATTTTCCAAAAAAGAAGGTTTAAGCAGTAATTGAGATCCCAGCCTCGTTTCCTTGTCGGCCATTTTGTGACATGCGCGGCACTCGGCTCCAGGGTCGACTTGGGCTTGGTTCCATATCCAGAAATGTTGGTCCTAGGGATGTTAATAATCTGGCAAAGTTTCATGCTTGTACCATAAAAATGAACAACTGGGCACCTTTTTGGTCCTTAACAGCTCCACTATTCAGAAATGAGACAGTGACAATGTGTTTTCTGTTTCAGATCGGAAGTACCTCTCTCTCCCACTTCCTTCTCAGCCCACATCCTCAAATGAAAGCTCTACACAGCATTTATAGGCTTCTAATTCATCTTTTATTGTGTAGCTGACCAAAATGAATACAGTTGCAGACAGCCTACATGATGTAGATACAAACAACTGTGAGGAATAAGCAATTTGTAAAACAAAAGTCTATGGCTTACTGAGCAGACAATTTATTTACAAACTTCGATGGACTCACTGAAAACTGGATCAAAAGTAGTTTCTTAGGTTATTTTTTCCTTTTTTTTATTATATATTTTTTAATACATACATACATATATGTATATATGTATGTATATATATATATATATATATATATGTGTGTGTGTGTGTGTGTGTGTATGTGTGTGTGTGTGTATATATAGATATACATACATACATATACATACATACACATATATATATATGTGTGTGTGTATGTATATATACACATATACATATATATATATATATATATATATATATATATATATATATATATATATATATATATATATATATATATATATACATATATACATATATACACACATATACATATATACACACACATATATATATATATATATAAAAATATAAAAGGGGGAAAGGAAGGCCACTATGGGCCCAGAGGGTGGATAAAGTCTCTTTCAGCGAGACAGCTTAACACTCAACAGAGTTACAGACATCCCATTTACTGTTATGGCACCAGGTTCAAAGCATGCCGTGGAACTGCTGGTAACACAGCGACAGGCACCGAACCAACAAGCAAGCAACTCAACAAACACAATCAGAGATCTGGACTGTCACATGAGGTATCGTGGATCAAGCATTACTGAAGACGCTCTCATTGTCCTTGTTTTTGGAATAGTACAGAGAATCATTCATCATACACAAAACAAACTGATGACATAGAATCTACATTACAACAATGAGGATGTCAATAACACAATTTTCTATGAGAAAATTCAATCCTAGAATGGCAGGATATTGACATTTATATGTATATCAAAACACCCAAAAATTAGCAGCAAACATCAGGAAAAAGCATCACTGGAATCATTTGTTTTGTCTTTTTCATTTCATGTTTCTATTTTTATCTGAAAACGTAGCTGGGGTTTATATAGCAGCGGAAAAAAGGAGTGTTTGTCTCCTACTGTCTCACCCACATCCACACACAAAGCCTACACCTACACCAAGGTCCTACACTCAGCCCCGCACGTCCACAGTGATTGAAAGTGAGCCCTACTGTTCTTGTTAGGGAAGTCTCCTCAGATACACAGCCCACGTTTACAAGTTTTGTGCAAAATCGTGTCTAAAGTCTACTCCCCACCCCCTCTTCTTTTACATCTTGTACGGGGATGAAACCCCCTCTCAAAATCCTTGAGCAGTACGAGGTCAGGTAGGGCACTGAAGTTTAAACTGGGATTTCATGGCAAAGGTTTGGTTATATCAGCACATTTCATTATGCAAACTACAAAAGTAAACTAAAAAAATAAATACTTTCTCTTTTCTTTTACCCTAAGAATAATATTTCCTTTGACTTTTACCACAGTATTGTGCTGATTGAACCAAACCAGATACGTTTAGTGATGGTAGCTATGACAAGTTCCCAATAATTCTCCTTACTGGTCATGTGATGTCCCCATCCACCCATTACTCTGACTTCTCCTCTTTCATCCCCATTCCAAACTTACTGTGATTTTTTATTTTTTTTTGTTGAGTCAGCCATGCTGACTAAAAGTGCTTTTTTAAGAATAAAAGTTTGAATGGTTTTAGATAGATCTAGTAAGAGAAAGAATGCACACTGGATTGCTATGCTATGTGCGACGGGTCAAGCAATCAGTAAAGCAAATGAGTGGACAAAAAAAGCTCTTTTGTCCTAGCCATTACATCAGCATCCCAAAGCAGCTATCATAAACAGCGCAACTCAGAACTACTTAAAAACAAATGCTTGGAAAAGAAGAGGTATAAGACTAATTGATAAAAGACCTAAATGAATATATAAAGTGACTAAATGTAAGCAAGCTGGGGGTATACAGATGCCTGCGACATGACAAACAGGAGCATGGACAAGTCTAAAACGTATTATAGTAGTATAAAAGACAAAACAAAAAGCCTCTGTCTTTAATAATAATTATATTTCAGGGTACACCCTGAAGACAGGCTAAGACCTACATTACACTTTGGGATGATTAGTAGGCAAGTCTGTGGTAATTTGAAGATTCCTAGTTTAATATTTGAGGGAAGAGTATTGAAAGTCTCTTTGCGTGGCTTGCGCTCCAGCCCTCAGTGTTGCGTTCCCTTGTAGGGGTGGGACATTAACAGAAATGACTTGGGGGGTCCCGGCCCGCAGCCCTGTCCCAGTCCTCACTGTGTCTTTAGATCATAGATCTGTCTCTGTGTGAGCTGTGTCCTCACATGTCCATACATCTGTCTCTTGTATGAGCAAGGTCCTTAGATGTTTACATCCCGTACATCTGTGGGGGTGCAAGACAGGTCCACGTCTCCATCCACACGTTTACTCTCCGTGCAGCTGTGGTGGTGCTGCTGCTGCGCCTGTCGCAAACTGGACTCCAATAGAGACTCTATCTGCTCTTGACATGAGCGCAGACAGTCCTGAACAAACACAGCAAACAGCACATTAGCAGAGGGAGACAACTACTGTCTGTCACTTGCACGCAATAATCACATGCACCGTGCATTATGATTATGAGGGGTTTTTTTTTATAACTTCCTACAATATTGTGGAGCAATAACCTCAACTATTTTTTCCTGTTACTGACTATAAAAATGCAGAAGTGAATATGTATAATGGAGGCTAAAAACAATAGCTACAAAAAAAAGTTGAGTTAGTGACAGCATTTTGGGCACACAAATGATCAGTACGAGTGTGAACACAGCACTTCCACCAAATGGCTATCCAATATAAGAGCTCAACAACAAAGCACAACTCCGGGTATGCTTTGGATGAGGATTATAACATGGTTAGTTATAGAATCTAGGTTATATAGGGCATTTGCGTACCGGGTCGCTACGGATGACTTGTGACAGGAAGTTGGTGAGGTTCTGAGAAGATAAGGAGGCGTCCTGGCTCTTTAGGTACAGGCCTTGGACTGCAGCCGCCACACTGCCAGCAGCAACCATCGAGGGAGGGCTAGCGATGAAGTTCACATCTGAACACACACACATCTTCGTGTCAGAATGATTCACTATAAACAAACATTTACTCTCTAATATTTTGTGGGCAAGTGAGACAAACAAAACAAAATAGTTATGAAAAACAAACAATCACTGATAACACACAAGTATGTGAATAAAAGCATACCTGTAGCACAGAGGGCCACAAAGGTTTGAGCATGTTTGCGGAGGACCTGTTTGGTGGACAAGTGGATCTTCAGCTTAGACAGGAAATGCTCGATGAAGTCGTGCGGTGTGACTGAGGCCAGGTCCCACTTGAGTTTGTTGAGAAGCAGAAGCTCCATTTGCTGTGAACCAAACAAGAGGCATTCATTCAACCTAAGCCACTAGTCAGGACACAGGCCTCAGTACTTAGTACAGGTTAAGTATGAATATCACGTTAATGTGTAATCTTTTATGTATGCATTAAAGTACTATTGTTATACATTATTATAATGTTATAATATTCAATACAAATGTCTTATGTGCGTTTCCCCATTGTCTGTATGTCCTTTTCGAACAGACTCATGAGTAAGAATGGGTATAGAAGGGCATTTTATGGCTGTATGTTTATACAAACATGTCGCAAAATGGGTTTAAAAGCTAAATATTCCGTTATTGGCCACAGCAGCCCCCCAAGATTTCAATATTGGCTCATAAATACATTTAGTAATGCATATCAGCCCTTCCCTATATATAATACAGAATAGAATAATGCATCTATAATTTTTGACCAGTAGGTGTCACTGCAGCCTGCTTTTTTCCTTTGCACTCAGAGCACATTGATGAGAGGCCGCAGTCAGCATGGGAAAATCACAGGCAGCCATTCAGAGTGAAAGCATCAAACCCAAGTCTGACTTTGTTCAACATCCACACAGTAGCCCCACTTCCCAGTACTGGTGTACTAACATTTCAAATTCGCTTTTGATACGGAATACGCTCAATACTCAATACTAATTATAAACTAAAATACAGTCATAACAAAAACACTCATTCTTTAAACAACAAAATGTGATTGAACATTAAATCAAAGTACTTTTTTTTTATATTACCATGTGGCCTTATAATCCCTCAGTGGTGCAGTAGGTTCCATAGTGGTCCATGTGTGTATACTAGTCTATGTGCTCTTATACTTGTTCTGATACAGCTGCAGATCATTCTAAAGCTATTCAGGAAAGGTTAATTTCTGTCCCGTGAATGTGACTTTTTTAGTACTGATACATGCTCAAATGAATATCTAGTTTCAAAACTAAACTTAAACTAATACCGAAACTAGATACTCATTTGAGCAGGTATCAATACTAAAAAAGTCACATTCGCGGGACAGAAATTAAGCTTTCCTGAATAGCTTTAGCTGATACAGCTCTTGAGTGCATAGACTAGTATACACCCATGGACCACTGAGGGATGACAGATGTAATGCTACACAGATGTAATGCTAAAGAACGCAGTACAATTGAATGTTAAACATCACATTCTATTGCTTTATTATCAATATGGTATTGAGTATTGAAATTCAATTTGAAATGTTAGTATTGTGAAAACACTAGTCATGACCACAGCAGCCCCACTGGCCTGTATCATGAGCCAGCGCCTTGTGCATGTGTGCTCCTGTGTGTTATGCAACATCCATGTCTACACAAGTCAATTACCAGCAGTTCGGAGGGGTGCACAGAATTGTCTGTGTAGATGCACAGTTTCTCTGCTGTTAAGGGTACAGTCTCCTTCATCTTTGAGGCCAGAAACATACAGGTAGCTCCAAGTAGCTGCAGTCGGGTTTTCCTTGTGGCCTCCACTGATAAAAATCGGTCCAAATAATTCATAGCCAGTGGAAAAACCTCCTCTTCACATTTCTGCTCCTCGCACACCTGAAGAAAGCCACGAAGATGCTTCAGACACACGCACAACACCTCACACAGCAGCTGCTATTACAAACCATGCATTTAGCCACAATATGAATTAATGTCGAGATTTATTTGAGGTATTTTTCATCATTTAATTGTTAACTGGTCTGCCATATTGACTTGTCCGTGCAAAACCAGAAACAGTAATATGCATATAAGCATAACGACATTTGGGGCTATGCAGTATGTCTATCTCTTAAACATTCTAAACGTGAGTTGTGGCTAATTAAAAACAGGGGCGCATTAGTTCGCAGTCAGTTCTGACGGAGACACAAAGGTGGCGTCGAGGCAAGTTTCACTCTCTAATTTCAACTTCGTCATCTTTTCAAAAAATGTTCAGAAATACTTAAAAAATAGTGACAGCAGTCAAACGAGTATGAAAATGAGCCTTGTTAAAAGCCTGTTCGGGTGAGCGCTAAAAATGTCGAATCTGAGCGCTGTAGAAATTAAAATGAATTAATTTGTAAAAGTGCTCTTCACGTGCTCCTTGCGCCTCTTCTCTCTGCCTCGGCGCAGCGCCGTTTCAAAAATTAATAAAAAATGTTTGTAGTGCATTTATGCAGACAAAAAGTTTACGTAAATGTGCAAAACCTTATCTACTATTAAAGCCGACGGGTCGGGTTTATGAAAAAGCACTCAGTTTCTTATAAAATGCATTTTTTAGCTGCGACCTTCAAGACAGAGCCAGTCTTCTCAAACAAAACAGACTTTTTGCAGTTGTGATGTGGTAGATTGGGCTGGAACAGCTCATATAAGACGCTGATATGATAAAGATTCACATGTGGCGGATTCAGCCCATTAGTTGTCGCACACTGTCACGATACACATTTTTAATGATATTAAAATCCTTCTCATATACGACGACAAGATGGCGCGTACTGGCACGGGCCACGCTGCATACGTGTACATTGTTGTAATTTTAGAATATTTTCCTGATTTTATTTCACTTACATGTGAAGCGCAGAGACCAGGCTATGCACTAATTGTTCACTTAAGTGTATTGTTTACAATGACAGAAAACTCTCGGCTTATAGAGAAGGACCACCCAGCTTCCATGAGCACATAGCCTACTTTTACAGCCTTTATGTAACCGCTTCTCTAAAAGAACATGATTTCATGTGTCTGTCGATGATATAAAGTCCATCCTCGGGAGCCTGCCTGTTTCGCTTTGTGCTAGCACTACTAGCTTAACCACAAGTTAGTTTGCGGTACTCAGAAGCACATGAGAAAAGTTGCACTGAAACAAAAACCAACCTCTAACATCCATGTGGCAACTATTTTCCTCATTTTAGGCACAATTTCCCTCTGAACACACTTGAAGTAGTTTGGAGACGGGAGGTAGCTCTCCTCCGCCTTGAGCATGGTGTGAAGAACGCGGTCATTGAGCAGGTTGCCGTCCTGGTAGGCTCTCCTGATGGAGTCCACCTCACAGCACAGCAGCTGGTCCTCCATAGCACAAGTGCGCTTCCAAAGCTCCTCTTGCCTTCGACACAAGGCGCTCTGAGTGTTTCCGCGGAGCGCAGGAGCGAGCAGGAGCGCACACGAGGCGTCTCTTGCGGGTGTGAAATGACTCGGTGCCGCTGGTAGCTGCTCTTGCTCCTGCGGTGTGCGCCAGCCTCTGAGGAACAGCGCTGAGCTCTACCAGACAAAAACCCAGCGTCAGGGAGCGCGCACGTCCTCTCAGCGCGCGCACAATACGCGTACGCCACAATCGCGCGCGCGCGCACGCACACACACACACGCACACACACACACACACACACACACAGAGTGTGCTTGAGGAGCGCGCAAGACAGGGAGCGGGGCATGCGCGGTTACGTCAGCTGTTGTTAAGAATGGGGATCAAAGAGAGAGCAGTCTGAGGGACGGAGCCTATTCTATACAGATATAAGAAGAGGGCCCCCGGCTCGGGCCCCTCCTCTGGTGGCCCAGTAGCGGCTGAGGAGGAGCTGGGAGGTCCGGGCCAGAGCAGAGGGCTATGCCCCTGTGGCGGCAGGGGGCGATAGTGACTCAGACTTCCTCCCTTTTCCTCTGTGTTTGTCCCACAGAGTTGAGCATGAGGAGAGCACATGGAGCTCCACCACCCCCACGGCTCTGCTCTGTGTGCCAGCCAGGGCCTAACTGAAACCAGTATGCACAGTACAGGGAACTGTAACCAGTATGCACAAATGCACAATGCAGGGCTTATAAACATGTAGGTTTAACGGTGCCCTTTGTGAAAAGGTCATTTTGAACTTGTGTCACTAATAGGCCATATTCCTGCTTTGCTTTTTTTTTTTTTTTTTCTGTTTTGTTGGCTACTAAATACAAAGACTGATCAAACAATAGGCTTAATTAATGTAGTTATAACCACACCACTAAGTAAAGAGATGTTCACAGTATAGTCTCAGTTTAGTGACACACAGTGAGTCTGACACACACACGCGCACACACACTAGCAGGAGGAGACTGGGGCTGCACCAATGAGAGAAACCGCTGTTACTAGGCAGATGTCGGCCTAACTTTTCATGTGGGGAAAAGTTCAGTGCACTGGGAAAAGTTGGCATTGTATTTTATAACTCAATCAAAGTTCTTTGACTTTTATAATCTCATGTTATCAGTACAGAGTGTGTCGTTCTTGTGTCAGAGAGAGGCTCATCATGAAAGTGAAACAAAGCGGCTCAGATGACAGCTCTTGTCAGTACACACAGGCCTTGCACACACAGCCATAGTTCGTTACAGTTACAGATTCATGTGGACTGTAAGTTAGGTACAATCTAGTTTCAGTCTGAAGTGGATCTTTTTACATTCCTGGAATTCCTCTTTAGGCTATTGGTTAGACTACCGTAATGCCTGCTGTAGCTGGTCTTACCATGAATGACAATGTGTAAATGGAGTTAGTGACTAAAGAATCTGACAGAGAATCAGCATTCATTTACACTCTTTTAAAGACAACTTACACATGTGTGGAAAACATGTGTAACAAACTTTGATATTCATCTGCAGTTTTGAATTAGAACTTCAACTTTCCAGTTTCAGTCTAATTATTGTACTTTTTGCTATTAAGCCTATTTTGTAATTGATTAGTGTGGTGTTCATAATAGCCTAGGCCTTTTACAATAATATCATTTGAAGTAAGGTATATTGTTGAAGAAAATATAGACAATAAACAATAATAATTAGACTAAACTATGCCACTGACACAATAACCCTAAAGCAGGATTATCCCCCAAAAATATTCTAAAAACATGAGCTTGTTAGTTAGTTTGAATCTATTATGTTATTTATTTAACTCTCTACAGGTCAAATGTTATAGTACAGAAAAATAAAAACACTAGTATGAAGAAAACGTTCCTTCATTTAAAAATGTTGGTATTATGATGGTATTCTAGCTATTCAAATAATATGACCAAATGTAAACAAAGTAAATTTAATAGTCTCTCTAACATAATATGTCCACTTTAACTGCATGCCAAATTGTGTTTTTGCATAACCTTTTATTGCCTATAACAATTGTTCAATCTAAATAAGCATAAGTAAATATTCAGCCAGATCATATGCCATAATGACACGCATATTAAACTGTGATTGTGCTCAAAAAGTTGCAAAGATTGTGGAGCGGTTTGAGATCCATTTGTTTTGTGTGAGACCAAACTTGCAGGAAGTTTTGCTGAGGCTTGCCTGAGCAGCTGAGGACAAGCAGCCGTGGGAGACAAAGGAGCCCGAGCATGTGACTTTTGTAAGGAGCCTCTGCAAGCAAACTTACGGTACATGCAGCAGGAAGTGTTTAAAGGGACAGAGACAAGACATGCTTGGCTCCAACATTTCACTGCTGAGGTAAACACACCTGTTGAATTGATGCAATAGATCATGCATAGTGTATGAATAAGCAGAGGTGGGTATAGTAGCCAAAAATTGCACTCAGAAATGTAACTGGAAGGAAAAAATAAATTATGCACAAAATCTGGTATTTTCAAAGGATAAAATGAGACAAACTAAATCATAGCTAAAGGAGCAGTGCTAGAAACAAAAATCTTCAAATTATTTCATATTGTCAACATAAAGCTTTTGTTACTTGTAGATTTATTCACAGTGGAAACAGTACTGTTATTTTACCAAGTAGGAGTAGGAGGAATAAATATTCTGAAAAGTTAAATTTCTTTAAAAATTTGTTAAGTAAATGTGACTGATTTTTACCCTCCCCTGGAAATAAGGGTTGAAAATGTTTTCTTCATGGGATGAATAATGTACTGTACTGACACATCAAATACAACTAGCCCCATAAACATACTGGACCCATTACAGAACATTCACAGAGTTAGCACTTTTTGATTGATTGCATTTATATAGCACCTTTCAAGATACCCAAAGCGCTTTACAGTTCATTATTCAGTCACTCCACACTCAGTGGTGGTAAGCTACTACTGTAGCCACAGCTGCCCTGGGGCAGACTGACAGAAGCAAGGCTGCCAACCTGCGCCATCAGCCCCTCCGACCACCACCATCACTCACGCTCACACCACTTTCAGACTGGGCAATGTGGGTGAAGTGTCTTGCCTAAGGACACAACGACAGATTTTTGCCACTGGCATCCCACTGTGGCACCTGGAATTCCTAGCGGTCTCCCATCCAAGTACTGCCCAGGCCCAGCCTGCTTAGCTTCTGAGATCTGATGGGATCAGGCTTTGACAAGCTGTTTTTTCTACTTTAGTTGTGAAATTATTTAGCAAATCGTGTCCATTCCAATTGGTATGGCATGCTTTTTATTTGTACAGAGACAGTGCACAGTACATTAATCAAGACAAATGTCATACATGAATGTTCATTTACACCTGTAGTCCCTGAGCAGGTTGGAAATACTGAGAGTACAGATTCAACATATATAGCTACATTATTATTATTATTATTAGGTAGATTAGGGGTCCTATATGATGCTAATGTTTGATCTATGTTATATCCAAATACGGACCTTGTTACATGCACACATGTTTAACACAGAAACCCTGCATAAGTAGACAGGATTCTTCTAGAGTATTCCAGCGTATAATAGAGTAAAGCGGTTCAATTGAGGCTGAACATAGCAGTTAACTTTAAAACTACCACTTGATGACAAGTTGAAACAAAGCATTTTGAATCTCAGTTGTCAGCACAGTGTAAACAAGTAATGGTTACATGAGGGTATTATACTTATGGGGAATTAACTGCTAGCGCATAACATATTGAGAGCACCATGTTATGTTATATTTTATTGTTTTGAAAATGCTATATTCACTGGAAACATTGTGTTAACATGTTTTATAAGTTTCCCTTTTATCACTCCCCCTATCACAACACAATCAGTGTGAACTCCTTTAATGACACAATTACATGGCATCAGGTTTGTCAAGTTTCTGTGTACAGTTTTGTATCATGTGTTGTACCACATTGCCTAGTATGAAAGTGGTGTGTGCGCGAGTGTTGCTGGTGGTTGGAGGGACCAGTGGTGTCGACTGGCAGCCACACTTCCGTCAGTCTGCCCTAGGGCAGCTGTGGCTACAATAGTAGCTTACCATCACTGGGTATGGAGTGAATGAACTGTGCTCTGTAAAGTGTCTTTGTGACAAATGTCTGTGAAAAGTGCTTTTTAAATAAAAACTTACTTACTTACTAGAAAGCTGCAAAAATGTCACTTTTGCATAACACCCCCTCTTTAAGAACAAGAATAGATCTGATATGGCTCAAGGCAGAGTGGTGGTTGTTTCTGTCACAGGTCACTATCCAAAGGTTGTTGATAGTGTCAACACTATTTTGTTTAGGCTTCCTGCTTGTTTGGTATGTTCCCCCAAACGGAGTGTGAGAGGTCGGGTTAGGTTGAGGTGAGCAAGTCCCTGCTGTGGAACAAGCTAGTAGCCACTGCAGTACTTCTGTCTATTTTATTTAATCCAGATGGAGAGTCATTTTCTAAAATAGATTTGTTTCTATTTTATTATGGAAACAAATTCCCATTGAATTACAGAAAATAAATTGTTCAAAGAGCCTTTCTTTTTGTACCAAATTATGGAGGTATGATGGCATGCAGACTCTACTTTGAAATCACTCTTTTACCCAGCCCTTTGTTTCATACACAGGCCATGGTTTTAAATCCATCGGCAGTGTTGGATGAAGTACTCTATTTTGATACTAAAGTAAAAGATTATTCAAGTAAAAGTATCACATGAAAAATCTACGTAAGTAACAGTTAAAGTACCCCTTACTTAAAGAGTAAAAAGTAGAAGTATTTTGCAGAGAGTTGCAAAGAGAACAATTAAAAGTGAAGTGACTATGTAGTGAAAATTTAGTGGTTTTGATAATGAGTTCAGCAGATTTTAAGTAATTCTATTGATTTGGTAATTTTTCCAGCCGTTTTGTGTTTTTGTGTGTTTGGTTTGCTCAACTCAAATTAAATGTAGTAAAAATAAGTCTCAGCCTTATACTTACTACTATACAGTACTTTTCAGTCCAGATCTAAAATGTAGTGAAGTAGAAAGTACAGATACATGCTCTCGGTAATGAAGTAAAAGTATCTACTGTGAAATGCACAGATACCTAAAAATAAGTATTGTACTTTTGTACTTCACTACCTTCCACCACTGAACAACACTGTATAAAAAAGTATTTATAAGGGACTACTTAATAGAGTG